CTCGTTGGTTGGTGGTACTCCCCGGGGTTTTCCAGGGTTCTTCCACCACCAGTTATACTAGCCGACATATATAACATATCTTGTGCTGAAAAATTGCGCTAAACCCCACAATAACAACAACAATGACAACTACTGTGAATGTCCAGTATATTGTTGTGTTACGTTGGGGAGGAGGAGATATTCAAGTTTGGGCTTTGTTCGTTGGGACGGCAATTTCTTTTCTGCATATTTCGGTCTTGGTATTCTATTTTAGTCATTTATGGTGGCATTTTCTTTTCAGTTTTTCTAGTATTTTCTTTAAACTATGCACTGAGAGTCTTATATCTTTATTTTTTACAATTATGTTTTATAATATGAGTGATAGTGTTATTTATTGACCTTAGCTTTGAGTATTCTTGGTATACTTATCTCTATGATATTATTGTGTTCAGATACGAATTATTATAACCTTTGAACTAATTGTTGTTTTTCATCGGATGCTGTGGGTTGGATTTACTGATGTCAGTTAGTTTCAAATTAGTATAAACTTTTAATCAGAAAGTGCTTACAATGACATACTACGTGTTACAGATATACATGTTCGATGACAGTCACACTGTACAACAAACGATATAGCATACATACCACCTACCTCCATGCCATTGCCGCTCCTAACATACAATATCACAGATAAACAAGAATATAAAATAGGGAGTTCATTTTTACCAAAGAAAGCCATCTTTAGACAGACACGTGCTTGGCAATGAAAGAAGCCTGATTGGTTTCTCTGACAACTCAAACTGATTGAGATTGTTTCATAATAAAAGAAAGATAATTTTGCCAAAAAATCCTTTGTTTGCTTATCCTAGTTGTCACTAACAACAGACATTGTTGTCCTAGTTGTCAGTAAAAAAATAGAGATATTGTTTTATTCATGGATTTTCAGTCCTTTAGCAATTTTGACAATGGAACTCTCATTCCTGAAAATAGCACCTGACCTTTTGGTGCGAAACTTATAACACATTTCAAAAATATAGCATCAGACAATGTTGTGACTCATATTCTTTTCTTCACACAGAAGCTGTCATCCAGTATGCATCTATTCTGATGAATATAGGTTTGATCATGATAATTTGGAAATTTTAAGTTATTTAATTCTTAAAATCATGGTGTTTGCATAGGTTTACTATGGGAACTGAATTATTATAATGAATCCGCCAAAACAAACGTGAACATGGAGCCTGCTAAAAGCCGCTAGGGCATTGGTTATAGCCGTTGTGTTATCCTAGAGACCTGCCTACAAAACAGTGTGCATCCAATAACATTCTGCTTGGAATTAAACATACATATTGTTTGGTAGACTACTAGTTCTGTATGTGTGAAATTATCTAAACCAAAGTCACAACGAACATAGAATCAGATAAGGTACCGATTTATAATTAATAAAGCAAAGATAGACCGAAATAGAGAAAGATCGCATGATACATATGCAATTCCACATTATTATAGGGTTCAAAAAGAATATAAATGCATACATTTTGCTATTTACTGATTCATTCGGATACTGTCAAGAGAAACCAGTGTATAAACTGAGCATACATAAATCAAGTCTACCTTCATTAATTTACAGTAGCAATTGTCAACATTATAAGGCAGTACTATATTCAGACTTAAAATCTATTTGTCCCATTTCTGGCTTAATGTATTTATTGAATCTTTTCTCTGTAGAATTCAACATACATGATATGAGATACATCAAAAAGAATCATAGTAAATCATAAACTGTAGATCACTTTCTTAGCATTACAGTCCCTGAGATATAAAAGTAGAATGGAATATTTTATAGAGTAGTTGATGCGTAAGGTATGGTCTATAATGGATAGCTAATGAAACGAGTGAGAATTGTTCAATAGGATACATACCAAAATTTAATTGATTTATACAGAATATAATGTATGTATTATGTTAAACATTGATGCATGCATTAACAGAATGGAAGAACTAAACAGGAATAGGTTACCAGTACATTCTTTGGTTGTAAGTGTGTGGTTCTAGCAGATGTACACAAGCATCTAGCTTCATGATTCAAAATTGCACACGTATGACAAATCCATTTATGATGTACAGTTCAGAAAACTTAATAAATCATGAAATAAAATCACAAGGTTTTATCTTATCTGTGGGTGATGTGCTCATAAATATTCTACCTGCCACGTCTTTTGACTTCATGTATAACACCAGAGAAAACAAATAACTTGTGATTAGGATCTAAATGTAAAACTGTAACACAAACACCTTCGGTTCTATTTGATATATTGTACTGCTAAATCCAGTTTTCTGTTTCAGTGTAAAGATGTTATTCTGTAAACTGCAAGGCCTTAAAGGTTTGGTTTATACATAACTATTTTCTCGTGTCTCCGTTTTATTTTCAGCAACGAATATGCAGAATCATCATGATAGACATTTTCCATATCTCTTGTGTGAAAATGGCTGCTGTGAAATCCTTCTTTGCCAGTTACAATTTGAGCTAAGGATTGATCCTCCTTCTGATGGCATAATATGACCTTGATACGGTTGTTTAAGATATTAGCATTAGAACTTTAAGATTGATTCCGTTTGATAAAGATGTTATTAATAATAATATAATCAATATCAGCCTCATTATTATTATTAGAAGTAGTTATAGTAGTAGTAGTAGTAGTAGTAGTAAAATTAGTAGTAGTATTCAGAGATAGATACAGCAATGCAATGTTACTGTGTTTATGGGTTTGAATGACATCCAATTCGAACACATAATTTCAGTGCGCAAAGCATGCGAATCTACCGACAAAACCGAGGAAACAAAGATTATAGAAGCAATAAAAATGCTTTGTGTTTATTATACAGTGGTTATAAACGAAATATAAATGCAATTGACAAATGAAGAAGACTCGATGAAAAACAACAGGCAATATAGATTGGCATCTCTTGAGGAAACTATATAGTTCTAAGCCAATGTGAAAGCAATAACAAAAGCGAATTGGTTTATTTCTAGATACTCTTTTTCGTTTCATGTATTATTAATGATCATTGTTCTATTGGAGTATGTAAATGAAATGGATTCATGAGTGAAACAAAATGCTTTATCGCAAACATCTGATTAAATAGGATTTGCATGAGTTTTAGTATACACTGAATATACGTTAAAATCATTAGATCATACAATGTTATGTTTTATCAGAAAACGTAAATACAAATAGCACTACCCAAGGTTTGTTATATAACCTTAATGTACTGAGTTGGAAAGTGAGTGGTATTATATTGTCCTACTATATTTTAGTGTAATACTGAACCCAAATCACTTTAATCATCATGCAGAACTGAGCAGCAATCAATTACCTTTGTTTTGCGATTATATTCGTCCTGATTTCCATTGCTGTTCATGGCAGATGATATGTTCTCTAACAAGACATTGTAAGCTTGGAGAAACAAATGTTGAAGTATTTTGCAATATCTCCCTCCTGAGATGTATTAGATTTGCATATTGCGCTCCTATGTATTACATTATTGGCATTTAACTTAAATTTCCAGTCATGCTAAAAAGATACACATACACATGCTATTTATTGACATAGATTTGTTTTCGAAATCCGTATGACCAGTCCACGCTGTTAAGTAAAGTTTAATCTAAATTTTCATTATATATCGTGAGCCAGATACACTTACAGATAAACATAGTAGGTTATTTCAAGAGTTATCAAAAATTAATGATGTAATGAAACACATTGCACAAGTTTCTATTATAAATTTAAAACCAATGGCGATCTTTCTGTATTCTTCGGATGATTGCAGAGCTTATGTATGCATATTGTACCACATCAATAATAGCACATGTTATCTCACCATCCCCCTCCACATTCTTTGCTTTGTACCTTTCCATGCATGAGAAGTATTAAGCAGTCTACGAATACAAATAAACATAGCTTGGGGATAATAAATCCTAATACGTTGTTAAGACAAGCATGCTCTGTCCATTCTTTGGTAGATGTGAATCAACGTTTGCAATAGTCCGATTAATCATCTTGCTAACGTTTCTTGCAGACTGAAAAATCAGTAAGAAACGCTGTCCCAAAGAGATGTATACCCTCAAATGTACAGACTTTCTAAAAATATTATAATCCCAGATTTACATTTTTGTATGAGTATAGAATTGAAGTAAAGAATATAAATAAAGATATTCGATATTTGAAGACAAAAAAACTGTCTTTTATGTAAGTTATATAGCATCTGCATGTAAGAAGAACTTCGGCGGTGACCCTCACAACACAGCAGTAGATAAAATGTGGATAAAAAAAGTTGTACACTTTCCCGAATAACTGATTAGACATAACGCAGCTAACCCTTTATGAAATTCCTATTATGCAAGACACCTTTACACCGAGTGTGTCAAAGTGGCTACATGATACATAAAGGTTTAACAGGTAGATGTTAAGGTAATATACAGGTAAGAAGTTTTGTATCATTTGCTTCAAAGTATAATTCTTTACATGTAACAGCTGTTGGTGCTTAATAGATCTGTATTAACTGGATTTTTGTTGTGTAACTTTAAACTAAATGTCTAGTCCTAAGACTTTTATACTGCACATTTTGAACTTTATTGCGTTTACTGTAATCATTGCTAATATCTTTATCATTATTAGTAAATAAAAGATATTTCATATCGTGGTAGTCTAAAAGAAAGTACCTCCCAGTTTATAGGCTAATACTGAGGTAGCATGTGTATGAGTGTGTGATTTAGATTTTTAATTTAGCTTTAACACTTTTTCAGTCATATTGATAGGATGCCTGAAGTATTACGGTTTATAGTGAGTACGAATGTTTTCGACGTAAGTAAGTGTTTCAAGCACTGGAACATCATCCCGGAGACATGTGGCATGATGTTCCACCCGGTTATAATATCCTGACAACCAGGTCAACCAGACCTAACACAAACCTCTTAATACTGAGGGCCAAGTGAAGCAGCTGTTACTACCATTTTTGAAAGTCTCTGGTATGAATCGGCTGTAGTTCGACCAACGACCTCCCGCATCAGAGGCGGACGCTTTAACCATTAGACCACCGGAGCGGTTGCTATTGAGCTAGCATGAAAACTATCCCATTGCGTGATTTTGCAATTTTATCTAAGGATATTTATCAACTTGAATTAATTATTAATTAAAAGCTTTATGATGGTCTAAGAATGAACCCATTACTGTTTACATGAATATGTTATGTTTAGTACGAATGTTTTCGACGTAAGTGAAATATCGATTTCGTGCATGAAATATACAAATATTACACATTATGCCATATGATTATATTTAATATATCAATCTGTCTATCTGTATGTATGTTATGTTATGTTATGTATGTATGTATGTATGTATGTATGTATGTATGTATGTATGTATGTATGTATGTATGTATGTATGTATGTATGTATGTATGTATGTATGTATGTATGTATGTATGTATGTATGTATGTATGTATGTATGTATGTATGTATGTATGTATGTCGCAATCTTATGGCCCATGTTTTCGTTATATATCAAAGGTAAATAACACCGGCATCAATGGGCTTCAGTGCTTCTAGTAAGGTGCAGACAGCCATGTAGAGGTTTACAAACACAACGTTTTTGTGTTTATTTGTTTGTCTTATATATGGTTTGTATTTGCTTTTGAAAAAGACTCATTAGGAGTCGAAGTCGTTCAGGCTAGTTAGTTACTAGTTTCGCACTGTTTGTCGTCAGTTTATTGCATCTATTTTAATCAATCCCTGACACACATGATCCCTTGGTGGATCCAGTGTGCTTGAAAGGGATGTTATTCGCGATATGATTTGTATTCTTTATATATATATATATATATATTATATATATATATATATATATATATATATATATATATATATATATATATATATATATATATATATATATATATATATATATATATATAATGTTAACATTTCCTTGGCTAGCCTTTAACAACTGGATAGTTCATATGCAATTCTGAAACTGTATATAACATGACTAGACGGTGTTTCACCTGCCAAGCTGGGTTTAGATGTAATTCAAGAACAGTCAATATTGGATGATTGTAATTTACGGCGCCCTCAGGATCACGAGAAAACACCCGTGATTCACTTCAGCGTAGATTATGTTAGCTTCAACAGGAAAGGTGTCTGACCCTGCCAGTTCCATTGTGTTATCGTCCAGCAGATACTCGTCGACAAAATATTCTAACGAATGTTCCAGGATACACTATAAATGGTCGTGCTTAATGATATCTTTGAAGTTCTCGCAGAGGTTTTCATCATTCTCTTGTTTACTCTAGGTTATACAATAACACTTCATTCGTCGGAGGAGCTAACAATCTCAGATATTAATATCTGGGTTGCTCCTGATCGCATCAAATAGTTGAACGCAGTATATTTGGTAGTATAAAATGTTATAAACATATCACAACTGCACAGGATAAACTGCGGAGAAGAAGCCGACGACATTCCTACTATGCGGTCATCATCTTCGCTGACGCTGCAGACAACCATAAAAAACATTAGCTGGTTATGCGGGAAAAGGAAAAGAAATATACACTGCTTTGATCTTCATGTTGAATTTAGCATGATGATGAAACAACGACAAAATAGCCACTGTGCGTGCTGTAACACAATGCTATGGCAATATTTTCAAAAAGACGAAGAGGGATACAAAGAAATTTGCAAAATATTAAAGAAGTGGAAATATGCGAACTAAATCACAAATACAAAGCCAAAAGTATGAAATGGAATTTCAAATTAGATTTAAAGAATTTGGAAATGGCAAGCAAAAAGCACAACATTCATGAAAGTTCAGCTTTTGATGCTTCAAAATGTCAGTTGTTATTCCCTTGTTTAGAGTAAAAGATGTAGATCAATATTGTTTTCATTCTGAAAAAAGATAGCCGATAATTTCAAAATAGCCACGAGAGCACTAGACGTTTTTACTATAGAGAGAATTTAATGGCAAAACTAGTGAAGTTTATACTTCCACAAGTAAGTGCTGATTATAGTTTGGTAAAGGAATAAATCTTGATAGGTCATAAGTTGTTACTGGATATACATTGAGACAGGTTTCGAAATTGCAAGACAGAAAATAGCCACATTCATAGGGTTTACTAGAACAAACATTAGGCAGGTCGTGTGCATCTAAAATAATGATAAGATAATGAATAATATAATATATATTAATAGAACAGTTCAAGATGTCAATATTTACCTTGATGAACTCCAGATTGCTAGTTTAAAAACGTTGCTCGCAGAGCTGACGAATATTCAATGGATCACAAATTTCCTTTGTAAATACATCTTCCTCTCAACAAATCAGATGGTTAATAAGAAACCAAGTCAGACTCAAACAAGTATTTACAACTTTTCATTCTGGTACTACAGAAAAGATTCCAACGTTTAATACGACTGATCAAAAAATTCTTTTTATCTTTTCCTACGTGCACTTAATGCAAGAAAATGGGACACGTTATTTCTGTTTGCTTTAAGTAAAAACATGTAATGGAAAAAATACATTTTTGGGATCAAGTAAACCCCAGTATGATAATTTTGAGAATTATGACCCTTCATGTTGAAATGTTCCATATCACTTATCGGTGATACAAACCAATCGTATCCCTATTAAAGTATTAAGGGACACAAAAGCTTATAATAAAGTAATTTTCCTTTCTCTGATAAGACTTGTTTCGAAAGTGTTCCTGTTCAAGGAATAAAGTGCGTTTATTTTTCAGATTCCCCTCCATATTGTTATTTTAACATCGGACTTAATTTCAGGGCTAGTGACTATTTAATTTCAGGGCTAGTAACTATTTGTGCTGTGAAATCATTACCTATTAGTGGTGTTCATTTATTGCTAGGCAATGCCTAGCTGAAGACAAGGTTGTGCTTAATCCACATGTAACAGACAATCCTTTTTTCGGATCAAAAACTCGAACTTTTAGCAAAATCCCCGATTTCGCCCTTCTTGTGCAGCTATGAGAGTTTTGGAAAAAAGAGTTTTGGAAAATTAAATTGATCATGAAACTATACCTTTGGCTCACATACATATTGATCAGGCTTTTGATAAGGTCACTTCTGTTTCAGTTACTGATCAATCAAAAGTTAATGATCATCGTGATTCTTTTATTTGTAATCATGGTGATGAACGACAATTACTTGTCATAGAACAGGAATACTTCCTGAAGTCTTCTCTCTGTTGCAGAGGACTATAAGTTAAGTTAAATCTTTACACTTTTCGGCATTCCTACGTACGTCCGATTCATCTACGGGATCTTCCAATAGCTTAAGTACGAATTAGGTATTCAACAGTTGAATTATGCATATCACCCTAAATGCCAGGAGACGTTGGATTTTAATCAGAATTTGAAATGGTTATATTACTTTGATATTATTGGATTTAGCAACATGTGTTCGGACACAACGCTCTTGGTACTTTAAAGTTGTTGAAAGAAAAATCAGAGATTTGTATACTTGAGTATTTAGTTGGTTTTGTCTTTGATTTTAAATACAAAGTATCACAAGTTTGCAAGATGGCAAGAAATAATATTCAGTCTACCCAAACACAAATGAAATTAACGTATTACAAAACTAGTAATGAAATAAATTTTCGACGTGGCTCTCTAGCTCATATTGCTATGTCCTCGTAAAGCTTGGTATTATGATCCATATAAAGTTAAAAAGCGAGTGACTTAAATTATATCATCGCTACTCCCAGGAGGCGGAAACAAAAACTCTACCAAGCCAATATGTTAAAGGAGTACGTGCATCAAGTTACCTCTGTAAATCATTCAGTAAATTTATATGTTCATATCCCAGACAGTGAAAACTAAATGTTAATATAGAAACTGACTTTAATGACTTTGGTTCAACCAGTCTTCTAAATTTCTGAAATACGGAAAGAAAATGGAAAATAAACTTTGACATCTACAGCCACGGGAAAAAAAATAATTAAAGTACCTAGTATGAGAATATAAACACTTCTTCCCAAATATCACAGCTCGAACAAACAAAATCTACAATAATATTGAACTTGTGGATTCAAAGACACACGCTGCCTGTGGAGAAATTCAAGATAAAAGGAGGTAACTCAAAATGTGTTGGCAATTAATGCATCACATTAAATCAGTTATTTCCAGCTGTGCCACTGCCGTTTTGGGGTTGTTTTAGTCACAGCTACGTTATTTTAAGGATTATTAGTCTTTTAGTATCAATATGCATAATGCTCATATTCAGCGATTATGAATAGCGCCGGGGCTGAGGCTTTTAGAAGATTACGGGTGAGGCTACGAAATCATATGGTTGTGAATATTTTGTGTCGGAGATGTTTGATTGAATGAAAGTTTGATCGATTGTGTTTAACCGTTATTTTCAATTACATTTTAACTATTTCATTTATACCGATGCCACTGTTATGCATCATAATTGTTTTGTTGAAATGCTTTTACAGTATAACATTTCTATCTCTCTTGTTTAGAAAATTAATCTTTAAGTTGTAAACTGCTAGAAATCTAAATAGAGAAAGTGTCATAAATAATATTACATGAAATACATGCAAATATCTGTATATTAAATCACTTGTTGGGTTTTGACGTGCAGAAATTATTAAAATTGTCTATAACGTCACTCATCAATGTTAACATGAAAAAGTTGTCTATCACTATAAGGCATACATAAAGCCTGGTCATTGTTAAACATGGTTAAATGTCAGGTATTTTGTAAACATTACTAATCTTAAAAATTTTTACTATTTTTTTAATTGTGTTGTATATCGGTATTTTGACTTTATGATATTATTTTACGTGAAGCACTATTAAGTTTTATGGAATTTTGTATACGTCATATAATTTTTGTTGTAGACATCCTACCACTATAAAACGTCTAAGATGAACAAAAAACAAAAAGAGATAGGTGCACGCAAGCAGAAGATAGTCAATGGGCATAAGACAAGTGCTTAGATTGTCAAACATGCTTACACGTATACTTAAAAGGTTTGATACTAGGCATAATGATTACAACAGGCTCTTTTTTTAATCACAACTAC